AGGAAGTGCTCTGGTTCTCGTTGCGATCCACGTTCTGACCCACCGTCTTAGCGGAGTAATTTTAAGAACAGAAACGTCCGTCCATCGACGTCGGCTCGGCTCCGCGAGGACCTTTAATGTCACATTAAAGCTGAGTGTTAAGTAAAGATGACATAATTGTCTCATTAACGAACATTGTCACCGTCTGCTCTGACTTCGCTGCTAATTTGGCTCCAACCGTCGACTGATGAAGTCCATTTGTGACTTGTTTAGTCGCAGCCGTCTGACTCAGACGCCCATTAGTGGCCTCTCTACCTGGACTGTGTGTCTGGAGGAATCACAGCCGAGGAATTCTGATCTGAGCTGCAGTCTAATACTGCAAGAGAGAGAGAAAAAAAAAACCTCCTCACCGTTTGGTTCTTTGAAATGCAGCGTTACGTACGTGCTATTTTTAAAATTGTATGCAGACGTAAACACCGTGGGGATGTAAGATCAGATTAACGGCTGCGGAGAATTTCTAAATGTGTTTATTTGTTTCTCTGTGTTTGTGTGTGTGTGTGTGTGTGTGTGAGGGTAACAAACTGCATGATGAATTTGTTTCTTCATTAACAGGCATTACCACAGTTTTGTCGAACAAATTACTGCTCAAAACTGTTTTATATCATGGCCAACATCAGTCCAGAAAAAGGTTTAAATTAAGACGAAAGTAATTAAATTAAATTAGCTCACGGAATAATTACAGCTAGCTAAGGAATAGCTGGAAGACGGCTACCAGTGGTGGATAAATAAAATACAAGCTAGCCAAAATTATAGCAGAACATACAGCAATGGAAGTTTGTGTGTTAGCAAAACATCTAGCCAAAGGTTAGCGCAAAGTTAGATACATGTTTCAGTGTCGACATTTAAATTTCCTGTTCGCTGATGTTTTCATTCTTCACCTGTGTCCAATTAGCCTCACGGTTAGATACATGTTTCAATGTCGACATTTAAATTTCCTGTTTCACTTCCTGTTCGCTGATGTTTTCTTCACCTGTGTCCAATTAGCCTCACCTTTGTTCGATTAGCTTCACCTGTGTCCGATTAGCTTCACCTCTATCCGACTAGCCTTACCTATATCAAGCTACCTCAGTTTGTCTTTTCAGACCTTCGGTCCTTCCTCGTCTCACCTGTGTCCGGCTAGCTTCACCTCTATCCGATTAGCCTTACCTATATCAAGCTACCTCAGTTTGTCTTTTCAGACCTTCGGTCCTTCCTCGTTTTAAGGTTTTATTTTCGTTAATTATGGTTATTAAAGTCTGTGTCAGGATTCTTCACAGAGTGGTGAAGTGAGTATTTACCGTTTAAATGTTTGAAGGTTTTTACAGTTCCTCCGACTGCAGTGTGAAGTAACATTTATGTTGCATCTCCAGCAACACTTCATCTGGGCTCCCACTGTGTCGGCAGACGAGTTTGATGGGCAGGTGAGAGGGAGGCTGGGCTGCAGGCGGCGCCCCCTGCTGAGCAGCGCCTGTGAATTATGAATTCACAGACTGACGCTGAAGCTTTTACCTCTGAGTCTCCACTTCTCGTCTGTTGAGGAGTTTTGTTTTTTTTTTCTTCATCCTTTTCACCATTTCAATCATGATGTCGATGCATTATTTCACAGTTCAACCCATATAAGGTAATGCTAAATAAAACTGCTTTAGAGTGACGTTCCATTAGGCTACAGGATATGTTTGGACAGCGCCCCTTGTGTCAGGCACCGTTCATCGCAACTGTTTCACAGCTTCACTGAACTTCAATTAAACATTCTCATTGAACGAAGGAAATAAAATTACAAATAAGTTCAATTTTTTTTCCCCACAAATTCATTAAAATCTAAATTAATTTTCCTTGCTGGGCCCTCCCCTCGCAATTATTTGAACCCTGCGGTTGGCCCCGCCCTCAACTTTGGGAACCACATGTCAGAACAGTGCATTTTGAATGCGGTGTAATTTTCCACTCTACCTCCTTAGTTTTTTGTTAAGCAATAATTACTAATGAATCATTATCCCCAATCACAACATCAGTCACCACTGGCACTTGAACCTTAAGTCTTTAATTCTGTAAGGCAATAGGACTAACCACTGCTTCCTTTAACAATTAGCTTTAGCTGTTAAAATCCAGGTCAAAGTCAAACTACACCGTGTTGATTCTGTAGTTTTTTGCGTCGTTGAACAAAGTGTTTTTTTGGGGGGTTTTTTACTTTAAGTTTTGCATTTTTGGAACCAAAAACAGCGACTTCTGTCTCGTCTGCACTGAGCCGGAGGGAATTCTGACAAATTTACTGATTCATCTTTAGTCTCCACCCACTCAGCAGTGTTGAGTGACTGTGAATACACTGTGACAGTGTAACGTAGAGCTGTGTGTCGTCAGCGTAGGTACGGTAAGACATTAGAGATACTACTTCATAATCAGGAGGACGAGGACGTAGAAACTGAACCAAAGTGGCCCAGGATTAGATCATTGTTCATTTGGACGCAAAATTACTTTAATGAGACGAAAAAACACTGATCTTCTAAAAATACTCGAGTATTTTTGCATCATCAAATCCGGCTACAATTAAACATTTTTTACACGTTTTTCTAATGCGATGTTTCGGAGATAAAGGATCAAAGAGAGAAGGATCAAACATTTGGACTGGTCGATATTGACCTCCCCGCCCGACACCCCATTTCTTGCCCCCCCCCCCGTGGCTCCTGTCCTCCTTCACCTGCGACCAAACTTTCCTCCTCTGACTTTCTTTGCCTCTCGAGCTCCTGCGACCCAGTAACCTGTTTACGCAGCTGTTCTTCATTCATAATAATTCCTCAGAAACAGAATAACAAGCCGCCATATTGGAGGTTGGTTTTTCAGAATAGCATCGTTTTTGTTTTTTTTATTTATTTATTATCAGCTAACAAAACCCTGGATTTATTCTTGGGATTTTCAGCTCATGTTTGGATTTTTTTTGCTCCCAGTTTGAGTAAAAAAAAAGTAAAAATTCCCAAACTTGAGCGTAGATTTACCTGCTGTTCTCCAACGCTGCAGGTGCCTGAAGCTGAATCCCACGTCAGCTGCTGCTTCCTGCTGTGACTAATCTGAGGCACGACGTTGTTTAGAGAGACAAACAAAGACTTTCTTTTTTTTGGAAGTTTTACTCAGTTTAATAGTCGTTTTTGAGAAACTCTTACGATTGAAGCAATTTCTCTTCTGGAACTTAATCTGAAGCTAAAAAAAAAAAAACATAGTTTGGGTGTTTTTTTTTGGATTTGTCTGGACTTTAGTAAAAGTGAAGAGGCCACACTGGTGTTTTAATGTCTGTTTTATCAATGACACTATATTTGTTTGTTCCCACTGAGTCAGAGAAGTGTTTAGAGCTTCAACATTCAGGTTTAAATTAGGATCAGACCAGATTCAGGATTAGGACCAGGATTGAACCTAAACCTGTAACAGTTAAGGTTTGAAAAAGTTTAAAAAACAAAGTTAAAAAAAAACAACTTTAAGTTTTACTCTGTGTGTACTCAGTCATACATACGGGAACTTTTCTTAAATAAAATACTTTTATCGTTGTAGGGACATTTTTACAGACCCCCCCCCCCTCCTTGTTTAGGACAAGTTAGGATTAGAACTGCGGTCAGATTAGCGGTACGATCGGGATTAGGATTAGACATTTATTTATTAAAAAAAAAAAAGATGAGTAATGTCGCTGTGAGAAATCAAAGAACACGTGTGAGAGAGTGAGTGAGAGAGGGTAGAACAAACACTGACACGAGAGAGAGAGCTGATCCTCGGTCAGTGTGTGAGGGAACAGTCGAAGGAGAGACACACACACACTCTCTCACTCTCTCTCACTCTCTCTCTCTCTCTCTCACTCTCTCTCTCCCTCGTCTTGCTCTGGCGCTGACAAAGAGCTCAGAGAGCCGAGGAGAACGTGGAAGGAAGAATGAGGAAGAACTCCGCTCTCCTGCTCCAGCTCCAGCTCCAGCTCCAGCTCCAGCTCCAGCTCCAGCTCCAGCCCCAGCTCCTGCTCCAGCTCCTGCTCTCCAGCGTCTCGCCTCAGCCGATGCGGGTTTGCTGATGAGGCGCCGCTCCGGTCACCCGATCATACAGGTCGTTCGGGTCGAGCTGCGTGGAAACGAGGAGTCGGCAACAACAGCCGGCAACAAATAAACAGAAAGAGGAAGACGAAGAAAGAAAAAGAAAAAAAAAACATTCCGTGCATGGGAATCCGGACTCCTCACCCCTCCTCCTGCGCGTCTCGGTCGGTGGATGCGCCGTCTTGGCTGGTGTATAAGAGCTCCCTGCGTCTCCATTACCATTCCCTACTACTGCTGGCGGTCCTCTGCGACTACACCTCCTCCTCCTCCACCTCCTCCTCCTCCTTCTCCAGCTCCTCCGGCTCCTCTTCTACTTCTTCTTCTTCCTGCTACTTGCACCGCAATCAGTGAAGCTCTGAAGTTCTGCTTCTAGGAACCGGTTCTCTCTCTCTCTCCAGGTTCGGGACTCTGTGAGAATAAAAAAGGTAAGGGACGTTCTTCTGCCTGCAGCTTTGGTCTGGTGGGTGCGTGTTCTGCCGGGGTGGTGATGGAGAACCCGGTCAGTGGTGGTGGAGGTGGAGGTGTGCTCCTCTTATTCTAGATTTAAATGAAGTTTTCAGTGAATAGTTGTTTGAGGCACCGTGGGTTTTGGGAGGTTTTGGATGCGATGCTTCCTCACCCCCGTCCCTCACCCCATCCTTCCACACTGCGCTTCTCCCCTCCTCTCCTGCTCTGATCAGTTAAAAACCCTCAATAGAAAAGCAACGAATTTTTAATCTTCATCCAAGTTTCACTCTGTTTTTTTTTCTTCCCCACCACCTGCCTGTGAAACCAGTCAGTCAAAGTCCGACTGGTTTTCCTCTCTCTTTTCTGATGGAACACTGATTAAGGATGCAGGGCACGTTCACATCAGCTCGCTTGCACCTTTAATAGGCTCCAATGTGGAAGTTAAGAGAGACAAACATGCGCAGTCCGGCCGAACATTCAGCCTCGGGAGGTTCGTGTCCTCGGAGACTCTCAACATCTCCGCGCTCCAAGAGACACGTTCGACTCCGTTCTCTGTCGGCGTCTCTCTCTCTCTCTCTCTCTCTCTGTCCTCATCCTCTTCTTGCGCCATGTGCAGTGCGGTGTTGGGAGTGAACACATCTGTGCAGAACAGACAGAGAGGACGGACCTCTGAGTCCGGACCAGAGGGGTCCAGTTGGAAGGCAGGGGTTAGTTCAGGGTTTTCTTTTTTGTTTTTTTGGATTGATGTGGATCAGGATGCTGCTGCTGCTGCTGCGGCTGCAGTCGGCGTGCCTTGACGCTGCTGTGCGGCATAACGGTGATGGACCAGTGGCAGTGAAGTCCCTGTAAACCTGGTGATTAAACCAAAGGCAGCCGGGTTTTTTTTTATTTTTTATTTTCCAGATCTGACCACAGATCTGCGTCAGGGTTTTTTTTTTCAGGGAATTATTTTAGACGAGAAAGTGAAGCTGACCAAATAAAAATATATCAATGAAAAATAACCCCCCTCCCCACCTCCTCCATCCTCTCCCCCATCTCCTCCCCCCCTGCAGTCATGCACCGGGGTTACGTGGGGTTTCACATCCACACTTGTCGTCGGAGCTGCAGGGGAGTCTGGGGGGGGGAGGGGGTGG